ACAAAGTAAACTGGAAACGCCAAATGTATTTAAAAATAATGTGCCACTGCTCTGTAGAGTCCTTGATATTTGAAATTTAGGTTGCACGATATTGAATGCTGTTGGTGTCATTTGGCTGAGACTAGGACGGTCCTAGTCTCTTGTTTTAAAAAAAAAAAAAAATCTTTTTTCTGGTGTTTACATCCTAAATGTTGATTCAGTTTGGATTATATTCCTTTCATCATGAGGTATGTATAAACATTTTAAATAGGTGTGGTACACTGTCAAGTATTTTCTTTTATTTGGATGATAGGTTTGAACATCTATTCCCAAGTATTGGTAGGCACCTGCAGAAGCAAAGTGGGTATATAGCACCTGAACACATTCTGATTCATGCAATTAAAGCAGTTTACAGAGTTAGTAAGAGAAGAATATCACATACTGAGGTTTGATGTCTTTTTCATGCAGAACAAAAGAGTTTTGGTTCTTTCATTTCAAGTTTAGCCTAACTATTGTGTAGTGAAGGAGGTTTAATGAATCATTGTTTAACTTTGATACTGCCAAGTATTTGACCATTAAATAGTCTCAAATGTGTACATAGCACTTTGGTGACAGACCCTTATTTAACTGTGATTAATTGGCATTGAAAAGTTATTTAATTACTTCAGAAGAAATCTAACAACAGTGTGTGTTCTGATTAAGTTATTTGATGTAAAAACAAACATGGAATTGTTGAAGAGAGCACGTTCCCTATTGCAGCTTGCTACTGATGCTGCACAGAACATGGAAGCTGGAGAAGGGCTGAAGCAGCAGATACCATCTGCAGAGGCAGACACTGTAGTAACGTTGGCATACTTAATTCTTGATTTCTTAAAAAACTCTTTATTAGCGTTTTCATGAAATTTCACTGCCTTACAAATTTTAGATTTAGTATTTTCTTTTTACTTTTGAAGCCCAGACTGAAACTCATTGGGATAAGTAAAGGATGCAAGCAGTAAGGGAGCTTGAAAATTTTATGAATTGAAGACACTGGGCCAGTTCTAAGAATGTCCGTCTCTTGGCAAATACTCTGGCAGAAATACTTACTGCTCATTTAAGGAATTTGGGTTTTTGGAACTATCAAGTACTGCATGGAGATGATGATGATAGTCTATAAGTTTTAGAGAGAAAAATTATTCGTTTTTATGCGAGTTAGCACAAGTCCTGCCCTGCTTGAATAGCAGGTGCAACAGTTCTTTTAATGTGAAGACTGGTCCCAAAAAGTTACATTTGCAAATTCTGGTAGAAACTGTAGACGTAACAGCAAACGTTTTGAATCATGACTCAAAATGGCTACTTTAACCTTCACATCTGGAATTTTTTGTTTTGCATGGTTAATAATGTATAACCAAGCCACTGATTTACTCTGCTTCCAGTAAGTGGAAACAGTTGTATTTCTTCATACCTTGCAAAATAGACCTCATTTACTTTAGACATCCTTGAAAATTTAGCAATCGCTACATATGCAATATCATAATGGCTATGGGGCGTTTTCTGACGATTCTGAAGTGTAGCGTTTTAGTTTGGAGGTGTTTTGCTCTCTCTGATTGTTATATAGTGATGGAACTTGTTTACTTTGTTGGGTTGTCATAGCTTTTTTTTCTGCTTTGATTATGCTGGATGAAGTGCCATTTCAGTTGTATTTGTATGAACAAGATCTGAAATAAGTCTCCAGGCTTGGGTCTTCTCTTATACAGTCAGTGGAATAGTATCATTGCAAATCACCATCAACAAAAGTAGGACCAAGGCTTGTGGCTTTGTCGCTTGTTATTAGGAGGAGAAAAGCAATAATGGTTGCTAGAATAACTGAATAGCCTTATGAGAGGGAGATATGAACCTCTTAGCAAGAAGCCAGATATTTTTCTAAGCTTAAATTATTTCAGGTGTTGTTTTCCTGAAATAATAATGCAAACCCTAAATTGACTGTGAGCAAGTTTTTTTCAGTAACCTGAAAATTCCAAAGCAATGACATTCTGCTTACGGAGACTTACCTGAATATTTGGGAAGCAGCTGGTTCATCTCCGTCTTGTTTACGTTGCTTTAATTGTATCACGTGGCCTGTAAAAGGTCCCACTATTTTCAAGTTTTGTTGTCTTCGTCTACCATTTCTTTTACTCGCTCATATTTTAGTCCATATCATTTTACGGAATTAGTTTGTTTATATTTGAGTGAGGATTAGGCAGATTAAAAGATGTTTTCATGTTTAATTGATAATGTCAGATTAATTTCCACTTTCCTAGTGGCGACTCAGCTCTGTCAACAGTGCTTCTACAGACTGCTTTTTATACTTAACAATTTCTTAAGGCAATTGCCAAAAAAACACAGTTTTGGTATTTAATTAACAACTTGATTACTCATGGGAGCTTGAGTAATTGGTTATTTGTGGATATATGGAAAAGAGAGTAAGACCATAGGATACTGAGACTGGTTTAAGTGAGCTAGGTTTTCGTTTGTGTCTATATTCTTCAAAACTTCAGCCAGAAGAGATATTACTGTAAAGCAGACTATTCTGACACAATCGCTCTTGGCATTCAGGATGAATGCAAGTATTAAGCAGTTCTCATTTATAACTGTGTTGGCTTATTATCGCTAAAAGAGCAGAGACAGATCTGTATCGTGCTTGCAGCCTAAAACTCTCATTGTCGCAACACTGAAACTTTTTCAGGAAATGACTGGAGATAGTCAGAGCCTCCAAACAAATTATTTAAAAAAAAAAAAAAAAAGGCCAAAAAATCTGCAGAGTTCCTCCTTGAACAGCTTTAACTGGTGGTTCTTCAGTACAAATCTCAGCAGGTTTTGGGGTGCGAACTGAACTCCAAAATGCTGTTGGGACTGAAGCTGCAAAAGAGTTAAATTGCTTTTGAGAGTTAGCATTTTGTAATTTTTCTCTCCTCTAGCCCTTAAGGCCTTGTCCTTACCGTGTGAAATGAGAGTAAGCATAATGCTTTTCCAGGAACAAGTTGGGATGTGCTCGTCCACTTGTGGAATCATGGAACTTGTGAAGGCATTACTTGATTCCTGACAGTGCTAGTATTGACCTGAACGGTGCTGTTGGTGTGGAAAGTAACCAGTCTGAATGACCTTGCTTTGTTGATGAAGTGCTGTTTTGGATGGCCTTTAAGGAATAGCTTCTTCTGTCTATCTGCTGCAACGTTGTAACTATTACAAATAAAACTCATTTTGGGTTAAAAGGCAGAGGAAGATTTTAAGACTGAATTAAGTGGAGGGTTCCATGCTGCAGGAATAATCCTCCACCCTTGTGTAAAGCTTGTCATCAGTGGTTCTCACAGCATTTCACAAAGGAGCTCAGCGCTGTTGCCTCCCCTTTCTGTGCCCTTCACTCTGTAACATAAAATGAGGTCACTCTGGAGACAAGTGGCAAAGATGGGAACAGAATGCTAATATCCTGAGTCCGATCCTTTATCCTACGTTGTTTCCCTAATCTGCCCCTGCTGGACAGGCCACTAGGGAAAGTCCTGTCAGAAGTAAGCATTTAACCTCTTGGAATGATTTTTCGTTTTGCCAATGAAGCCTTCAAGGTTCATTTGAAAATATTCTGGAATATAGTATTATGGTTGACTGCTGACTATTCCAGTAGGAACAGATGAGAGATTTTTTGCTAATCTTGTGTATACCCTTCCTCTTTGTCTTCAGTGCCTAAAAATAGAATGGATCCTACTGTTACCTGCCTAAGTAACTGCCTTTGGCACAAGATTACTGTAGAACAAGCTGTTCAGCACCAGGATCTCTATCTTTGGAACCATGTGGCAGGGTTGAAGAGCGGATGATAGGTCTTGCATATTGCTTGGCCTGGAACAAAAGTTGCTTTAAAAAAAAAAAAAAAAATCAGTATTATGCAACAAGACTCATAATTCAAAGATAGTCTTGAACAGAAAAATAGAATGATGGTTGCTACAGAAGTTACTGTAGTTAATGCTCTTATCTCTGACTTTAATCTCCAGCACAATCTGTGGAAACTTAAAAGTTAACTTCTTTCAGTTTAATGAGCTCTTGGGGGTGGGGGGGGGGAAAAGTCTTTTGTTGCCAGTGCGGTAAATCTGTTTGTACCAGTTAGAAGTAATAATTGAATCAAGATGTATGTAGATAAAAAAGCAATGTGAATGCATGTATGGGCATACACACCTTATAAAAGGCCAGATTCTCATCCTTAGGTTAGAGATTGTTTCCTGCAGAGTAGGGGTATCAATTAATAGAGAAAGATAGTAATCCACTTACGGGTGGCAGAGTTCTGACTTTAATAATTAAAAGAACTCTTGCTATAAGTGAATTTTTTCACTCAAGTAGAACTTGGGAAAATAGAGAAGTGTAAATGCTTCAGTGAGGGCAGATTAAAAACTGTGTTACTGGTTTTAATAAAGATCAGCATTGTCAAGGTTTTGAATAAATATAAATATAAAGCTGCATGTACACAAATCTACCTCAGATTTGATTTCAGAAATATCTGCAATTTGAATTAAAATATAATGGAGGAGCAAAATTTAGAAATAGTCAACTGTGATCTGTCTAGGACGTGCATGCGTTAGTGAGAGTTCCAGTCAAGGACAGGAGCAGATTCTGGCTGATGTTGCTTGATTAAACTTGTATTAAGATGCCTGAACTGTAAACTTTTACACATTGAACATGTAAAGCTTGTGTGTTTCACCTGTTAAATTCTATTGAACAGCTAACAACTTAAAAACAGCTTTTAAGTAAATGTTTTATACCTAGTTGAAATATATTTGTTAAAAAGTGTTTTTATTCTTCTATAGCAAAATATATTCCACTGTTTTTTTTTTTTTTTTTTAAAAAAAGAAAATCCCTTAGAGGCGATTTCAAAAGATGTCTTATGTTTAGATTTCAGCTATTTTCTCTTAACTGTTACTAAGCTGGTAAAACATTTTGTGTTTAAGATATTTTGATCTTGTGAGGAATTGTATTTAGATTTTTTTGTTTCTCTTCCTTCTCCAACCCTGTTTCTGTAGGAAGAATCTTAAATCGTTTCTCCAAAGATATTGGCCATCTGGATGACTTGCTTCCATTGACGTTTTTGGACTTCATGCAGGTAATTCAGTTGCTACTGTCAAAGAATTCTACATTGCCTTCTAAATTTAGGTTCGTCTATGCTTAGGTGAAAATCGGCTATTTGTCACAGATGTAGCTGAGTTTAATGAAAATGCTTGTTTGTGAAAGAAAGGTGTGGTCGAAATTTAACGTGTCAGTAAAAAGCTAACATGAGTAATAACTGGCAGGTAGGAGTGGCTATACACAACTTGCTATTATGTCAAGATTTCAGTTCATAGTAGCTACATGCTTGGTAAACTGCTCCTGATTTGCCTCCAAGCAATCTGGCAAGCTTATTGCTGTTATAAGAAATATGTCCATAGTAAAGAAACAATCAACTCGCATGAAAAGATAGCACAGATTAACCTAATTATGTGTGTACTTCCACAAAGAATCAAATGCTTACCACACCATTTTGGATTAAAATAGGTGTGGCTATTTACAAAGAAAAGATTAGTAGTAATAGGGTGAATATAATAGCCTTAATAGGAACAAGTGAAATAAGTTACTGCAGACAAAAAAGATGGACAAAGCACTGAGATTTTAATGATGACAAAAGGGTAAAGGATTATACATGACATCACAGTGATTTTGCTGTTGGAGCCGTTGTTATTCCTCCTTATAAAGTACTGCAGAAAGCAAAAAGTTACGGAAAAAGTGATCATACTGCATCAAAATACATGGATCATGGAATACATAGAGTAGCAGAGGGTAGAGACAGAAATGACTTAGTGGTTCATATGGATCCACTTAGTGGATCAGGCCTGTCATGCTCAGGTTAGAAACGTTTCGTAAAGTATTACTGCTAACTTCATTCAGTCTTCTAAGAGATAGCTTAATCAGGATCTCAACCTAATTTTGACTACTTTAACATTAAACCAAGACCCTTTCAGCTTTTTAAGAACTGTTTGATCACATTGTTAATGCTGAACTCTTGAAAAAAGGAAAACGTGATTCCAATAGGTTAGTAAAAACATTTAAGAGAACGTCTTTTCCCTAGTTTAGTGAAGATCCTAAAGTTGAAGTATATGTTTGTTTATGAAAGCTTTGCAATGCCACGTCATTTTGAGGAAGAGAGGAAGGGGATGTATTTTGTTTGCTAATTAAAAACAAGTGTTTTTTGTGAGTTACAGAGTTGCTTATAGTGAGTATTAAGATTTTAAATTCACATTTTTAGGGTCATTTTTACATAAAAAGGCACATTTTTAGATAAAAATCTTTCCTGATAATTAAACATCATTTTGCAATATGCTACCCATTTTTCTATTGTTTGTACAGATTCCAGACTTTCTGCAGTCTCATTGACTATCCATCCTTCATTAGATGAACTGTCTTACTTTATTTCAGCTCCCTTGGGACAATACATATGTGCCTTTCTCTTTGGCTGGAAGCTCAGGCAGCCCTTGTTCTCTTCTCTTAGCGTAGGAGTTGCATCCGCAAAGACAAAACCATCTCTTCTGTGTAGTGGTGCTTGGCCATTAGACCAAGCAATGCAGAGGAACTCATATTTGCACAGGTTTGTCCCCTTTACAGCAGACAGGACTATGTATGTTCACACTAGATAGCACTCTTGGCCAGATCATCCTCTGGGCCCTGTGGTCATGAGATAAAATGATTAACTTGTTTCTTAGTTTTGTGTATTTATAATAACATAAGGGTTGTTTTGCAGCCCACTTGCATGGTGTATTTATAGCAAGAAACTGAGTGGGTGTTTTGCATGCCCTGGCATGTGGTTTAAAGGCATGTGGGGTTGTCTGGGGATGCAAAATTTGCTGGGAAAATGCTGGAGAACTCTCTGTAAGCACAGGGAGGCAAAACTGGTGTAATCTTGACCCTGCTTCCTTTTGGGAGCAGATCCTGAAGCAAACTGTCTTGAGAACTGGATTCTAGTTTCTTCTGAGGGAGCCAAAGGCTTTACTCCAAAGAGAGCCAAGGAGAGAGCTAAGCCGTTTGCATGGGGCATGAGCAGAGGACCTGAACCGTGTAGCAATGAACTGGAGAGCTGAGTTATTTGACTAGTATATGCTTACCCTGGGCAGTATATACAGTTACCAAAACGTAACTGATCTGAGGTGAAAGAATTAGGGCTGTTCCTGAAATGTGGTTGTATTCCTTCACACTCGTCTTGTGAAAAGCATGCTTTTAAAATTTTTCTCCTCATATTGATTACTTTGCTCATTTCTTTTCATAGGCTATTGAATAAATTGTCACACGTTCTGAAGTTTGTATTTTAAGTGAAAGGTTTATTTTTCAAAAATATAAAGTAGATGTTTTATGTCCAGTACACTGTTAAAATGATACTTTGTTTCAAAGCTTGGCTTGCCTGTTCTGTTTGGCATCAGAAAAGAAAATTTAGGATCTTACTGTTGTTTAATAATAAACTGCTATCCATGAGACAAAAGCACTTCCTTGTTGGCAAGTTTTCTAAAACTTGCTATTCTTGATTAGCAAGTTTGTTGATTAGTTGATGCCTTTTGAAATTCGATAGCAAAGATGCATTATTTATTTCTGAAGAAGCACAGATTTGTACAAAGGATAACTGTTATCAATTATGATAAAGATCTTTTGTCACTTGTTTTGTTTGCAGGTGTCTTTTATAAGACTTCCTATAATCCCTTCAGGAAGAAATATTTTCTCCTTTCTAAAAACAGTATTAGCTAAATATAAAAGCTCTGATCCCAGCTATTGTTACTGATTCTTTGAGAGACATTTCCCAACATTCATTGTTTAAATGGTTGTCAGGAGGAATCAAGTGAAACCTGATAAACAATGCAGTAACTGGTTCATCTTACTTTGTGTGTAGAAGCTTTTCTTGAGAGGATTTGCATTGAAGAAGTGGTTCTTTTTCTGAGTTATTGCTAGGATCATTGTGAAGCGTTCCAGCCTTTTACTGTATTAGCTAGTGAGTGTATCATTTCTGCACAAATAAACACAATGTGATTGGGCACTCAAAAACAACTGCATGAGCCCATTTAAATACCTATAAATAAATAATTAAAATCTGCTAGTTTCAAGAATTTCATAGTTGTGCAGAGGACATATTTTTAGGCAATGCTCAAAATTCATGATGTGCTTTTAGAGTCCCTAATAAGATTTATGCACTGCACTACAGTCATAATGAACATGATTAGTGTAGACAGCTGTACTGGATGAAAATTAATTCCTTAAACTAAAAGAACTGCATTTATTAGATCTTCGACTGGGTAAATGAAGAAGAATAGTCATTTATATTCAAGACAGTGGATGCTTACCTTAGACTTAGTTGTTAAAGCAAAAATGAAGGCAAATACAAAAATGCATCATAGATTGTGTGTGTTCTTCCTAAAGCACAGCTAGATTTTGCAGAGCTGTTGCTCAGAAGCAGCTTCTAAAGTAGCAGCTCTCACTGTGTCTACAAACTTTACTTCCTTCTGTCTGTCGTTCGTGTTTCAACTGCACCAAAATACAGCATACCAGTCTTTGGATAGACGGGGGAAAAAAAAGAAAATAATTTGGTATCCTCTAGGAGCAAGCAATCACTTTTCCATCTTAATCTGTGAATTTTAACAGCATATGAGAAATGTCATGTTATTGTAGTGACTAACTATTTGTAGAAATCGCTGCATCCCTAAGTTTTATAAATAAGAAATAATTTGCTTTTATAAGAACACATTTATGACTACGTATTGCTACAGGACTGTTGAACAGAGCTCTATGGGTAGGCATGAAGCATAGAAACTGAAAAGAAACCAAAAGTAAGTTATACATTTTAACTGAAATATCTTGGATTGTACATTTACAGCCCCATTCAAAGCTGATTAAAGTAAAAAGTAACTTTACAGGCCACAGTTCTGTTTTTTTTTAAAAAAAAAAACAAAAAAACAAAAACAAGTAAATTGGCCTGGACCCTTATGTTCTGTGATGGATTCTGGCTAGGCAAAGGTTACATACTAGATCCCCTTTTTAAAAAAACAATGCCTTGTTCGCTGCATCACTTGTCAAGTATACTAAATATATTTGTGAGATGGGTAGTTATTGCATGTTTGTATGTTGATTCAGATAGCCAAAAAGTTGAAGGAAATTGTTTGGCAGCGATGGCGTGGATTTTTTTTTTTTTTTTTTTTTGAGGCATAGCTTTAATCACTTACCTCACTAGTGTTAGTCTCATTAACCTCAGCTCTATTTCATCTCCCTTTCTTTTTCCTGTTCTGAGTTGCATATTTTTGGCATGTTTTTCCAACTAAGTTACAATCTCTTCAGGTCAGGGACTATTTGTTTAAAGACCATTAAAGTGCTTTCAAACATTTAAAGAGGATTTAAACACCTACTTCATTTAGATATATATATATATATTTTACTTATGTGTTTGTTGGCTTAATCAGAGGGCTGGCCTGATAGCAGCCTCAAAGAGCTACCCACATATAAATAATTGTAGAAATGCTTTCTTTAGTTGGTATGAACTTGCTCATCCTATAAAGTCCAAAGGGGCTTAAGGAAGTTAGGTGTCGTTTAAGGTGACTGGGATTTTGTTACTCAGTTTTCTTAGGCTCCTCTGAAAATACCGGCTAAATTTACTGGAGTGTTGTAGCCAGCTGTTGTTCCTACTCCTGCTTTAAGCTCTGTGGGAACACAACGCTCTGTTGATGTACACTTCATTGATTGGTGGGTGGCTTATAGTTTAAAATGTCATGGTTAAAACGGATATCCATCTGTAGCTCAATGTAATTAGTTAATAAAACACACTACCCTAATTTGAGAAAAGATGAACAA